AAATAATTATTGACTAATAATTACTTCTTATCCTAGACAAACCCTTTGTTTATATATATATATATATATATATATCAGTGTATTAAATATTTGATATTATAAAGATTTAAAATTTTGAGCTTAAACTCAAATTAAGATTTTTAAAATAATTATTGACAAATTTCTCAATCTTTTCTTAGACAGACCCTGTTTTTTTATATATATATATATATATATCAGTGTATTAAATATTTGATATTATAAAGATTTAAAATTTTGAGCTTAAACTCAAATTAAGATTTTTAAATTAATAAATATCAAATTTCTCAAGTTTTTCTTAGTAGGACTATCGATTATATAATCTAATGGTAGAGTTATCTATACTTAGATTTAGAGCTCAATTCTTAATTTAAAAAAGGAAAAAAGAAAAACTCTTGTTGGTAGGAATTCGCTCACCTTAGTACTAAAGTATAAATAAAAGAAAGTTGATAACTAGATATACATTTTTTTTGAGCTTTGCTTCTCATCACAAATCCCTAATCATGAAAAATTTTCGCACAATTTTAGAAGATGAAACTTTTCCCTGACTCTTGCCATTGAGATCCATTTGGCAAGACCACAGGGATGTAATCTCAACTTCTCATAAAAAAATGAGAAGGGTAACAATTTAAACAAAATTTCACTTTCTTAAAAAATGGTTACCTATTTTCCAAAAACTTTCCCAAGCAGAGAAAAACCTCCCACAAATCAATTGGGCCCTAGCTAGGTTGATTTCGATCTAAGGAATTCATGTTCATATATACTCAAGTTTATATAGGCTATAAGTTTGGTTAGCACGTAATTTCTCAAACAAATTGTTGATCTTCAAAGCAGAGTATTTAGTGAACTATAGTGTACTACTCCATCCGAAAAAATTAACCTTTTTAAAGGAGTCCAACCTTGGAAAGAACCTTCTCGGAAAGTGAAGGTTAAAAGACAATGTTAAAACCAAAGAAAATGTTAAAATAATGAAAAATGATTAGTACATTTTTCAATTCAACATATTTTATAACATATTTATTAAGAAATTATTATTTTTAAATTTGAATTCATAGTGAAAAAATTTTCAAAGATAAATTTTAATGGTTGAACTGGAGTGTATTATATAGTGTATTGAATCAGAAAATGTACCAATCATTGTTATAAAATCAGTGTACTGTTTTGGAATGAAATTGGTAATTTAAGAAATGGTATAATGATAACGGGGATAGCGTAAGAGGATATATGCACATAGCGGGTCAGGTCCTGGTTTCCTTCCCCATTTGCCCCATTAGTAATTTGCATGTCAGCTTCGCTTACTCAAAAATGGAATTTTTATGCCACCGTTTAATGAATCTAAATTATCTAATCAAATTACAACTGTACTCTTAGGATACCATAAAACATACGTAAGCAGTTGGCGTCACATGTGCTGATTTAATTGCCAATTTTCAATAAAAAAGAATGTGCTCGTTTGTCTTCACGGACTACTCCATGGGTACAGAATATGATTTTTTTTTTTCTATCAAATAAAACAACTTAAAAAGAATCATGTATTCAAACAAAAAAATTTCTAACACTATGTTAATTGTTCATTTATAAGTTCTATAAAATATTAACTAAAATTACATGCAAAGGTAATTTATAAAAGTTCAAAAATATAATACAGAATTTGTACAGTACAACTTAAATTGCTTTGTACTTAAACTATTAAATATAAGTAAGAGTTATGATATTAAGAGTTATTCTTTAGATCTAATGATTTGTGTTTTCTTAACCTAAAAAACAAAGAATTCTTTTGTTTTATTAGTTTTTTATTTTATAATTTGAACTATATTAAACTGTAAAATAAAAACTTATAAGATAAAAAAAATTTTATTTTATAAATCAATAAAAGCATGAATCATTAAAATACTCTAGATTACACCAAACTATGGAACATAAACTTAGATGAGGGAGAGAGTATCTAATATCATGATGTGTCTCGTTTAATGGTTAAAGTTAAATAGTTTAAAATATTTTAATATACAATACTTGTGTTTTATATGAGAATTTTATTTTATAATTTAAATTATATTAAATTATAAAATAAGTTCCATTAAATAAAAAAGTTCCCAATATTAAAAATTTTAACTCTCATTGATAATTAATATGGTGCAGTTGGTATAATTCAGACTACACCATACTTTTTCCGTTTTATATTTATATAAACAGATAAATAAGAACGGACGGGAGGCCAAAAAAAAAAGGAACGGACGGAGCATACGCATAATCGCTGCGGTTTGTCTGTTACGTCTACTTGAAGCTTTTTAGCTCCAATCCTCGTCGTCTTCTTCTCCCATATGCTCTGCATATTTTTTGTTGTTTGCATCACTCTGTTCTAGATTTTTTAAAACAATAATATAGTATTTATATGTATAAATACTAATACTAGCTTAGTGTTCTACAATCCATTGGTGATTTTTCTGCCAACGTAAAGTGCAGGCATTTTTTCTTCTTGGTCTCTTTACTTTCAAGTTTCCCGCTTTGTAACTTGGAAAAACTGAAAAAGGTATCTCAAATTTTCTATCTTCTCTCTCTTCTTTTATTAAGTTTCATGTTTTCGATGTTTCTTCCTCAGAGAACAGTTTTGCTGATCCTAAACCACTGATTTTTCTTTCTTCAATTTGTGAACGCTTTCCTCTCGTTTGGTTTCCCAGAGGAAAAAGAAGAAAAAAGTGAAAGTTAAAGAAGATGAACACCAGACTTCGACCCGCTTTTCAGTCTATTAAAGCTCCTTTAAACGATGACACAAGTAATAATAAAGTAAGCAACTTCTCTCTCTCTCTCTCTCTCTCTCTCTCTCTCTCTCTCTCTCTCTCTCTCTTTATTTATTTTGATTTTCATGTATTTTGATGCAATGCAAGGATTTGCAGATGGGTTTTGTCTATAATTGTTAATTACCAGAAAAATTTGGGAATGTGTCTATATCTTATGGGCAGTTATCTTCGAATTTCCATGGAAATGGTCTAACTTTGAAGCCACTTCCATTTACTGAAAAATCTTGGACTGTCCCTTTCTTTTTTTCTCTTTTTCTTTTTTATATATATATTTAGATTTTGCAATCTCCTTGTGTACTTAAAAACACTTTTTGATCCAGAATCTGAAATGGGTTCTTTCACTTCTCTCAAGAAAGGCATAATTTCTTCTGTCTCTGGCCAAAAGGAATAGGTTCTTTTTTAAGTTTTGTTGCTGCAGCCTTATTCTTATTCACTGAAGTCATGTTAATTGCTTTTGATCATGCAAAGAATGAGGAGATGGAGACTCAGGGGAGTAGAGCACTTGGAACCGGCAAAACTATGTCAAGTCGGCGTCGATCAAACAGCGCAAGGAAAATCGCGTTACTACAAGATGTACCAGAAATCTTCCTCATTAGTGCAATGCAATTTGCTTTATGGTTTTTCTTTTTCAATTTCATTATTCTGATTTCTGATAATTTGCAGGTTGATAAGCTAAAGAGGAAGCTTAGACAGGAGGAGAATGTGCATAAAGCGCTAGAAAGAGCCTTCAACAGACCTTTAGGAGCTCTGCCCCGGCTTCCACCTTGCCTACCTCCCTGTGTAAGTATTAATATTAGGCTGAGGAAGGTAGATTAGCCTTTTGGGAGTTTTCAAGATTTGATTTAAAGAGTTTGATTTGGGTTGTTATTTTCTTTGTTTTAGACACTAGAGTTGCTTGCTGAAGTAGCTGTGTTAGAAGAGGAGGTTGTTAGGCTTGAGGAGCAAGTAGTGAATTTTAGGCAAGGACTGTATCAGGAGGCTGTATATATATCTTCCAAGAGGAATGTGGATAACGCCGATGATTTGGTGGAGGGATCCTCCAGTAGAAGTTTTAAACACCAAAGATCAAAATCCTTATCTTATAATGAGATCAATTCAGTGACAACCATTAGCAGGGTTCAACCATCCCTTGCCAGAAGTGCATCAAGCAGGAAGCTATTGCCTCCAGACACCATCCATGATCGAGCTGGTCATGGTATTATTAGGGCAATAAATAGAAGACAAGCTTCCAGTAAACCCAACTCCTCTTCAATTGTTACACTGGATGGGAGAGAAAAAGAAAATCAAGTACTCTCGAGAGCTGGGAAGGATAAACAATCACTTGAAAAGAAAATCCTGAAAGTAGTTACTCCAATAAAGATTCTTACAATCAACCAGGACTCAGCGGACAAGTGTTCAGATCCTATAAAACTACAGGTAAGTACTGATTTGCCAGTTTCAAACATGAAACTAGTCCCACTTGACTGTGTCATACAAAACTAGTTTTCTGCTTGTCCAGCAAGACTCTAGATTACTAGGTCAAGAAAGCCCTTCTTGTTCTTCAGATGATAGAGTCCTGGAAACTGACAGTTCACCGAACAAAGTAGCAGAGGATACTATAAGGTGCTTGTCTAGCATTTTCTTAAGGATGAGCACATTGAAAGACAAAGCAGTGGGAACTGTCCTTCCTCCTTCATCATTTACTTCTCATGAAGGCAACATAGAAAGTGAAATCCGAGACCCTTATGGTATCTGCTCAGAAGTGAAACCTAGAGATATTGGCCCTTATAAACATCTCTGTGCAGTTCAAGTTAGCACAGTCGATACCAATCAAACAACAAATGCTCTGTTTCTGATTCAAAGACTAAAGTAAATGCTTTCATTGGCTACTCTTGTTTTGTTTGATTAGTTAATTGTTAATGTTATTGTTTACCATATATATGTGTGTGATTGATTCAGGTTCGTACTTGGGAAGCTTGCCACAGTAAATTTAGAGGGTCTAACCCATCAGCAGAAGCTTGCTTTCTGGATAAACACTTACAATTCCTGCATGATGAATGTAAGATTTTCTATTTTAAAGTATTTCCATTGAACTAGTTTAAGAAAGTTCAATCTTGATTCAAACACTTGGAAATCAAGAGCAACATACTTGTACCATCAATTTTTTAGGCAATTTTGGAGCATGGGATTCCTGAGACTCCGGAAGCAGTCGTAGCTCTAATGCAAAAGGTTAGACCCAATTTATCATGCTTTTCATTTATTGTAACATAGGAGTTCCAAGTTCCCCCGCCTCTTTTTCATTCTTCATCCTGTTAGATACATTTATTTATCAATTTATATGCACTCCTTCAAAAACTAGTTTCTATTAGAACGAGGATCCTGCATTAAAATCAATATCAACAAATGTTGCAAAATAATTTTTCTTTTACTGAACCATGTCCATGGTTATGCCCGCCTCAGGCAACAATAGTTGTGGGTGGACATCTGCTAAATGCAATTACAATTGAACATTTCATACTGAGGCTACCCTACCATTTGAAATTTGTAAGTAGATTCATCCTGATCTTTTATCAAATGCAAGCACAAATTTTTTAGGGTTCTTAAATCAAACTTCAAATTGCTAACCACTTATCCTTTTTTCCTCTCTGCTACAGACTTGTCCTAAAGCTACAACAAGTGATGAGATGAAAGCCCGCATCAAATTTGGATTGGAGTGGTCCGAACCCTTGGTTACATTTGCCCTAGCATGTGGAAGTTGGTCCTCCCCTGCTGTAAGTCTGTAGTCTTATAGTAATAATTTTTTTCTTTAACAGTGGTTATTTCATATCTTGTAAAGTACTGAAACAGAAACTATTATTTAACTGAAGGTGAGGGTATACAGTGCATCTCACGTTGAAAATGAACTGGAACGAGCAAAGAGAGACTACTTACAGGCTGCAGTAGGAATTTCAAGAACAAACAAGTTGATAATTCCAAAGTTGCTTGATTGGTATCTACTTGATTTTGCAAAGGACTTAGAATCCCTGCTGGACTGGGTTTCCCTGCAGCTTCCAAATGAACTCAGGAATGAAGCAGTTAAGTGCTTAGAGAGGAAGGGGAAATTGTCCATTTCAGAGTTGGTGCAAGTAATGCCATACGATTTCAGTTTCAGATTGCTGTTTCAAAGATGATAATTCTATATTATTTCTTGCTCTGATCCTTGGTTTTGCATAGGTTGGACTTGAGGAAGTGATGGGTCTTTACTCTCTATGTTGATGATAGATATACCAGAAGTAGCCAAGTAAAAATGTATATGTAGCAATGTGTAACAACTCATAGAAAATAGTGAATTTTCTTACAACTCAATTATTGGGTGTTGATGATTGGTTCATTAATTTGATTTTGTGGTGCTACAAGTACAAGTCAATTTCTTGTCGACTGATGGATATAATTTACAAAAAATTACTGTTGATTGTACGTGGTAGAAGGTTCAAGCACAACCTATCATATAGAACGGAAGCTGTTCCCCACCACTTGACCAGACTTCATAATTCAAATATCACCTTACATTGCATGTAAAAACGTACGTGCGTGCGGGCATTAAGTAACATTCAATTCAAAATTAATTGACAACGTATAAAGTAACATATTTTATGTTTAAATACACAAATTCCTTCTTATGATTTCGACACAGGATTTTCTCTATTAACTAAATGCAAAAAATCACAACAATGTACCCTCAAGATGCAATTACAATACTGAACCCCAGAATTGAGAATTTATCTTCTTGTGAGAAAACAGTCCAAACCTTTCTCTATAGGGTCCATAGCGCTCAGGTATTGACACGACAGGATCAATATTATTGTTACATCATTGAACCAAAAATATGGCTTCGGCCAAAAAAAAAAAAAAGAAAAGAAGAAAGAGAATGGAAAATATGGATATTAGACAATGCAACATTGGAACATCCAAAACCACGTGAAAAACGAAAGGAAGAGAGAATCATATGCAAACAAATCAAAGATAAATTATGTACCTAAATAGGGCTGCTAGCTCGCTGCTAGCTTCATCATCTCTACAATGAGTGGTCAAATGGTGCTTGGCTGGGGCTGAACCTAGAAAAGGGAACACTCACATTTCTCTTGAGAGATATTGAGAAGGCATCTGCTTGGGATTGAAGCCCTTAAACAAGTAGGGACGCCTTTCTGGAGGAATTGATAGGCTAGAAAATTCTCAGCCAAACGGAGAAGGAACAGGCCCTGCAAGGGCATCTGATCTTTTAATGCTTCCCATACCACAGATGATGCATCCGGGTGCAGAGAGAGCGGAGAATTTAGCCCCACAAAGATCACAGACATCATATCCAATAGTTGACAGACGACTGAGTGTGGCAGCACAAAACTGGGAGGGATCTTCCAGAGGATCAATGGACTTGTTGGTTGAACCCCTCTGAACACAAATGTCAATCAGGCTCCTCAGCTCTTCTTGCTTGCTTGGAGGTGCCTTGGATAGAAGGAGTTCAAGCATCTGCTTGGTATAAGCATAATTTTGAACCTCCATATTTCTTTTAATGGCACTACGAATGCAATTTATTCGGTGCTTTGCCTGAAGAGGCAAAGAGCCCAGATGTCTTGATAGTCTGGCCATCTCATCTTTTGCGCTGATTGCACTTGGACCTTGGACTTTCTGCAGCCTTGCAATTTCCTGCAGTAGAATGAAAGCAGCATTTAGTATTGTTGAAATATTCATTTCAGCAACTAAAAACCAAAACATGAAATCATTCTGAAGAGCAACTTAGCTAAATCCTAGTCCCAATCCTCAAATACCAATGGCTAATTTTTCTACCTGATATTTAGCTCCTAAATGTGTTCATCATCTATGCATAAAATATTACTACCCCTATCCAATTTTAGTTGTTACATTGACTTTTTGCACGTAACTTTTAAGTGTTAATTTTATACAGCATATGAATTGCAAGTGAAAGTTGTTTCTTTTTTTTTAACTTCATAAGTAATTCTCGTTGAATGGTTTTATTTGTTAAGAAAATTTCATTTTTGCTTTATATACTATATAAAAGCATTACTCAAAATTACAATTTAAATATTGAATTTTTTAATATATAGAATTGTTTTAATGATTTTTTATGATTTTATATTTATAATTTTTATAATTTTATAGTGTAATAAAATCAAAATTATTGTATAATGT